AGACGACTCTGAATATTTGTGAATATTTCTAGAACAATACTAATTGTTTTTTCAAATGGAAAAAATTCAACAGTCAACGATTATTTTTTTATTCGGAATGAATTCAATTCTATTTTACAGTTCGAAATTACTCGAATCTCATAGTAACCCTATTAGTTCTAGTTAAAGATCTACCAAACGCGGAAAAAGGAAGTAAAATTATGCATTGACCACCTTATTGCCCAAGTTAAAATTGCGTATTGCCCAATCAAATCTCCTAACACAACTTGAAATGTGGGAACCGCCTTTTTCCCTCTATTTAAGGACACCCCCCAAACCCACACATCCTCTCATCACCATTGACTGAAGGAGCTCGATCGCCAACAAGAAAAACACAATGAGAAGAGAAGGCCGCCCGCACGGCATGGTCCGAACATGCCCAGCTCCGTTGGACCCGCTGCCCAAGTCCAGAATCCTCAACCAGCTCGCTGACCCGCCCACCGCTGGCCCGTTCACGAAGGTCCCGTCCCGGCCCACCAACCACTCCAAGCCCACAAGCAAGCGCAACTGCGACGCCGATCGACATTTCAGGTCTAGGAGCACGTCAAAATGGGCCGAGAGCACGAGATTGAAAGCGGATGACTACTCAGACGACGGAGATGAGGAGGAGGATTTCGATAATGAATAAATTTTCTAGTCTCGAGAGAAATTATTATAAATGATTATCGTCTCTTGTGGTTAATGATGATGATCATAAGATGAGTTTTTGCGAGGTGGAAAGTGTTCTAATCTGATTTGTTGTTTTTTTTTTTGGTACAATCTGATTTGTTGTTGATTGTTGATTAGATATCTCTTTGATTACTGTGTTTTCCCATGTTGTCAACAACTAATATGTTTACTTGTTTACGATTGTCATATTTTTGTATTTTGTTTGTGAGTGATTCCAATGTTTTAGTTTACTATTCATCTGTTTTTTTGTTTGGAGATTTCGGTAAATTTTGGTTTTATTTGTTACATGATAATAATAATAATATTATTATTATATATAATCAACAGATATGAATGCAAATTTATTACTAACATGAATTATAAATATATTTATAAGAGATAGCGTAAACACCACAATATAACACGACAAACACACAAAAGACTCTCCAACAAAAAAATACACAACTTACCAACGGGGGTATAAGCACTCCTAAAGTGGAGAAATAAACGCATACGCACACTTACAACACAATCAAACAAAAAACAAAAAACACCATATAACTAGATTAAAGCTCTTCCCACAGAAGCGAAACCAAACCTAACCAAGACGACGCCGACACCCACGAGCAATCGCCCACAAAGACAGAGACCCAGTCCAAGTCGTAAAACCAGAAACTGTAGAATATTCACCTAACTAGATTCGAGGCTCGAAAACCTTTCCTTGCCCGGGTAGACAACCCATAGTGTAAGAGAAAATTCTTCTCATAGAATCGGACGACGGGGTAGCAAATTCCAAGTGATTCGGGCGTTATTGATGGGAGTCTTTTTCAAGTCTCACCATGTATTCTAAGCCCTCTTCTTCGGCATTACCATTTTTCATCTTGGCTATTATCTCTTCGCCCCCGGAATCGAAGATTCACAACAAGTTCCACCATTCCAGCCCCGACTAAGGGTGGAGAAAGAAAAACGAATTTTCCCGTACCGAACTGGACCGAAATGGTCCTGTTCCGAAAAATAAGGGTTCTGAAAGATTCTCTTTATTTTTGTCCCATTCCCGGTACCGAACAATTTTAAACAATGTCGGTATCAGTTTTGAATATTTTGTCCCGAACCGTCCGTTTGTCCCGTTCCATTTTTTTTCGTACAAAATTATATATATATATATACATATATATATTATACCTTATTATTATTTTTTATATTAGTATTATAGTACCAATTATATATTTAACAATAGTTCATTTTGGTATTCAATCTATAATAGCATTCTAACTTTGTAATATAATATATAAAAAAACAAAAGCTCAATTTGCCCAAACCAAAACTAAACAATCAA